TCAGAGGGAGTCAGATGTTAAATGTTATTGTCTTGAAAAAAAAACCAACAACAACACACACACATTGTACCAGAGTTCATCTTTTGGCTACTTTCTGTCAAATGAAGAGGAACATTATTCTTATTCACATATTAAACAAGAATGCCTGATTGTAGAACTGTTTGATTTATTTTTTATTCAAATTTTTAATCAATCATTGCTCTGAAAGTATTTAATGTTGGCAAACTTCTGAAGAAGCAAATTCAAATGTTTTGACCACTTCCTACTACAATAATTATGATATAATAAACTAAATATTTAGCTTTGTAATTTTATTTATAAGAGCTGTTTTCATTGTTTAAGAATGAACTCATTAAGTGCATTTAGCAAAATACAATAAAATTCTCAAGGACTGTATACCTTTTGTTTGTGCTAAATGAGAAGTAAAATATTAGTGAACACCTTTTATAAGGGTTATTAGTTCTGAAGTATTTGAGTGATTTTGAACCCTTGTAAATCGTAATTTATTGTTTTTCTTGCCTATATGTTCCTGTCAATATATGCTGTGCACATGCTGCACCGAGGTTCAGAATATATTCATGTATACATTACAGCTTTATGCCAATACTGAAATTTACATCATTGGATTGAAATTTTCCAAATTTAGAAATAAGCTTTTATTGAGACTTATAGAAAAACGATAGGCATATGAACAAATTATTTTTGTCAAATTATGAACACACATATAAAGAAAATTTGTGTCCCCCACCCCCCCTTAATTTCGTTAGACATGTCTGTTAAAAGGAACAGTTGGGAGGGAGGGGGGACTTCGTAAATTCCTTTTCCCTTAATATTGCTTATTTTGCCAAAGTTTTGTAAAAATTCACATTTCGGCTGTTGTGAATGGCTTGTTTTTCCCAAATTTATTTTCTATCATGAATAAAAAAATTCCAGTTTAGTAGACCGTGACTGGTTCTCCAAAAATTGAATAGGGAAAAAAACAACATCTAAGTAACAAAGACATGCATTGATCTATACAACATGGGTGTAATACCTGATTTTCAAGTTAATATGAGGCAGTACTTTACTGGGAGTTGCTGTAATTTATGACGTGTCTGACATTGAAACATTAATAAATACATAAATCCTCTTACACTTTAATAATCAGTTAACATCAGTTATACAACTACTGAACAATATTTGAGCCGCGTCACACGACAAAACCAACATAATGCGTTTGCGACCAGCATGGATCCAGACCAGCCTGCGCATCCGCGCAGGCTGATCAGGATCCATACTGTTCGCTATCAGTTTCTCTACTTATAATACGGTTTGTAAGCGAACAGCATGGATCCTGATCAGACTGCGCGGATGCGCAGGCTGGTCTGGATCCATGCTGGTCGCAAACCCATTATGTTGGTTTTGTCGTGACGCGGCTCATTTATACTTCAAGAAAATAAAAAAAAATGAATTTGAAGTTTTCAACTCTGCAGCAGAATGTGGGTGGAGAGATAAATTATCATGGAATTTTTTTTGTCTTTTGAGCTAACTAGATTTGATGTAACTGTATTATGATTTAGGAATCGGATATGATATGGCCATGTATATGGATGAACTAATATGCATTTCTAAACATATGTAGAGATAGCAACGTCATTCTAAAAGCTGTGTGGTTGTAAAAAGTAAAAAAAAAGTCTGCTTAAACATATCATGAATTCAGGGTGTTTTTTTTTTTCCTGCTGCTATTTCAAATCCAGCTTCGATGTGACCTTAGAGCATGGCATTGATGGATTTAAATCATTGTTGTGTATATAATTAATTGATTAATGAGTTAAACCACAATCGGTTTCTACAAACAAAAAAAATGTTTAAATAAAAAGCAAATGCAGATGTTGAGCATGTCAAGTTAGTGAGTGCAATTGTATTGCCAGATTTCAGCGCCGATTATCGATCAAATAACTTAAGTAAAGAGTGCCGCCCAGAATTTATTTACAATCGTACCTTTCGGAAGTAGGATGTCCCATAATGATTTATACCCATACGAATATTCACAACCTGAATATATTTAGTGTAAATTGATACTGAGCTATAAATAGTACGATTAATCATCGGGAATGTTGATTTATGATATTTATATTCGACTTTGCCAAGTTTTTATATAATTCAAGATAATTGACTGAAATAAATGATCGTAGGAAATGAATGATTAATCAATAATGTTTTACTGTATGATAATAGATTCTCCAGATCTTTTATTCATCTTATATTGTAATTAGAAATTGAGACTTGTATAAATAACAAGTTTTTTGTTTTAAACCTTGTGTGCTCTTTTATTATGACAGGGTGGAAGGGATGTAACTCTGGATTAAGAAACATTGCTATTGTAATGCCTGTAGAGTTAGCCCCCTTTATTAATAGCATCAAATTGAATAAAAATGATGATGTGCCAATTTTTTCAGGTCAGTGATTTCGATGGAGACACAGGCAGGAAACAATGTATGTGTATGGGTAAACTCCACTCTAGTATAGGAAAAAAACTAAAATAGCCTAGTCGTGTCTTAGAAAAGATTCTTGGTCGTTATTTTCAAGAAGAGAAAGAGATGCTTTTACATTATGTATACCTATTGTATTTGATCTGGCAATGTGATTGTATAATTATCGCCCTTGTTGTAGCTTTGATAATCATTTCTGTTCATTTACTGCAGTAAAAATCCTCAAAATGGCAACTCGAAACATGTTATTTAAATAATGTACGTAAAGAAACAATTTTGGAGGGTAAAAAAAAGACAGCGATGCAACTGTTTAAAGATCTTTAGAATAAGATACAACATTGTTTCAGGAAGTGACTTCAAATTCAAGTAGAATGTCGCCAAAACAATAATTTTTGAAGATAATTTTACTGATTTTGGACTGTAATATAATTTATTCTTACTGTATGTTCTGTCAAACAGCTTTCTTATTCTTAGAGTAGAATCAGCAGCAGTTACCAGTAGCCATTTTGAGGAATATAGTGGAAAATATACAGTTGGTGACGGAATTACAGTGTTGAACGTTTTAGAAAGTACTGTATATAACTTCACAGTTTCGTAGCTATATTATGTCTCTTTACAGCTGTCTTAAGCACCCTTAATATTCCAACTTAGGTCATGTGACGCATGTTTTGTAGATTTCTGGCATGCCATAATGCGGAACTGGTCAAAATATTGTTTTTTTTCTTCATTTTTTGTGTTCGCAACCTACGGCCAGACACGTCAAAAACTCTGCACATGTACTGCTACTGTTTATTTAGATGTACCAAGTATTAATAATTTTTTTTTTTTATTAAAAACCTGTCTCGGCGAACAAAAACTTTGCTTGTAGATACTACAGTATTTAGATTGGTGTTGATAGTTATTTTATGCAGGAGCAGGTACCGCATTGTTTATCAGGAATGCTGAGAACAGGCAGGTTGATAGCTCGGAAAGTCTTTGACTGCTTAACTTAATAGAAAGCTTTTTTGAATGACCATTATGCACTTTGTTGATTATGTAGAATAGATGTACTTTTTTACTCTTGAAACATTTTTTTTTTTACTCTCCTGGTTTATATAAATTTATTAAATAAAATACTTAAAAAAAATCTGAGGTTTAAAAAAATAAGGGTACTTTTAACACAAATACGTTCTTTTAAGGGATCGTAAATTTTTTTTAATGATTTGTAATGTTAACTAAAAAGCAATGTTATTTTATTACCATGGCGTTTTTATCGAAAAAAACTTATATCACCAACTCTTTGTTTTAATTTCCAACATTTCTGAGTCTGTCGAGAAAATCGTTAAAAATGTTTCTGAACAGTTAACAGCAGTTACAAGTATTGATGAAAAGGCATGTCACAGCTCTATTTTTGCTGCAGGTATTTCCGGAAAAGTTAAACATAAAAGCAGTCATGTAGCTAGATATATACTGTATGTGCTATTTTTAGAGCTGCAGTATTTTTTTTCTCCCCCCTCTTGAAAAGTCTGTGAATCGGTTGAACCAGGATAATGTTCTGCAATAAAAATATGTATTTTAGGATGCCATTAATATGTTGAAATGGATTTCCGTCTTTCTTTCAATCTGGACAAAATCGTTTATCATCTTTAAAGAAAATTTTGAAATAAGAACTGATCAAATAGCAAATAGTGCAGACCCTGACCAGACGGCACAGATTTGCCAGCTGATCTTTGTCTGCTCTTGTAGCGTGGGTAAGGCTCCGGTGCTGCCAGGAAGCGGAATGTTAAAGGGTTAAAGGTTTTATGAATAGCATAACTTAATTATAACTGAAAATACTCTAGTAAAAATGAGCACAAACAAAAACTAAAAGACATTTGCTTTCATTAGACCAAAAAATTAGATATTCCTTTCTTTAATGTATCTATTAGACTTTTTCCCCCTACTAGAGAATTTCATTAGAATAATTATATTTTACTTAAACGAATTTCCTATTCTTATTTTATGCACTTTAGTGCTAGGCAAAACAATGAAAGTAGGGGTTTAACCTAAAGTTTTGAAAGTGAAAAATGCATTAAAAAAATAAATTAACAATGATGTAAGAAATGGTTTCGGTGGAATTTAAACATTTATATTGATATAAAATTAATATTTCTGTTAAGTAATATGCTTGCTGATGAAATTGTGTAATAAGAAATGTGTTTACACATGACATAGTCTTCGTACTTTACACCTGATATGCTGCAGTAAATGAATAGAATTCTAACGTTTTTACAGCAGGGTTTAAATTGATTATTTAATCTCAAAACCATTTCAGATAATACAATATTGGTTCGATTTTCAGAAAAAAATTGTTCACTTCACCTTGGCAGCAGGCAGAAAATAATACGAAATAACGAGACTGTATTGCCAATGCCCGTGGTACTGTTTGGGAACTTTCGCAACTGTAATGTGTATATATAATTATACACATTGACCATCTTTGTATGCATTGTGTAAATAAAAGATAATGTTGACATATGTGTAAAGAAATTCAATATTTTATTCTTGCAGGATTTGGTTTTGTTACGTTTGAAGACGAAGATACTGTTGAAAGAGTGTGTGAACTCCATTTCCATGAAATCAACAAGAAGATGGTTAGTATTACAGTTTATTTACTTGATCGTAACTGTTTGAGTAATAGCTTGCTAAAACGTCAGTAACTGTTGTTCTCCTCAAGTTTCAGAGGGTGGGGGGAGGTGTGCACCTGTTGGGTTCCTCCACCAGTAAAGCTGGAAAGTTGTTCTATGATCTCTATTGAGCTTGAATTGAGACGTAAAACCCGACAAAAAAAAACTAATTGTGGCCATCAAAGTCCTATGTCATTGGTATAAAGCCAGTCTAGTCCGTACATCAGCATAGTCTTAAGGGGCAGCTCTGAATATTACCTTATAGATACTGAAACATTACCTTAAATAGCAATTGACAGTTTCGAATTCAAAGCTGGAGTTCCGTGTTAACAATTGACATGTATCAGCAAAGAGCCAATTGAACATTTTTAGAGAGTACACAGTCTTCAATATATATATATATACAGTACTTATGTGAATCCAATAGAATGAGAACCCTGAGACACTTTATATAATACATGTTCTGGTCCATTGCGCTCCCTAAATATTTTCAATGTTAGATATATTGAAATAATACTGGTATGTGTGCATGTGCAAACAAATTCTGTGATTACCATGAATTGAAATCCAAAATATCTAAGAAACTAGACTGTTTCATTTAATGAAATGAGTATGGTATAGCCTCTATAGAGCAATTACCTCTGTACAACAACCATTTTATTTCTTCTATAATGAACAATTTTCACTATATTTAACCACTGTAGAGCAATGACCTCTAAGCAGTAACCAAGTTTAATATTTCTCTCCCAAAGGGCGTTTCTTTGCACAGGTTATACTGTAACAGTAAATATGGCTGTTTATGTGTAAGATATGTTCCATTTGTCATAAGCACTTGGTCGTAAGCCCTGATAAATACTTCTATAATGATATTGGATGTTTTTTATTGATAAACTGTTATGACATAAATTATATTACTATTATATTATTATGTTTCTCATTTATGCACAAAATATCACCTTGAGCTGAAAATAATAGATTTCCATAATTATGCGCTTTATTGAAATGATAAGCTTTCGAAGGAATTTGTATGTATATTATATTTGTTTATCATTTAACAGGTTGAGTGCAAGAAAGCACAGCCCAAAGAAGTGATGTTGCCGCAACAATTGGCACGTGGTCGCGGTATTGCACGAGGTAAATATGCTGTAGTAATATTGTAAATGGGGACCGAGGGGGGATTAATTTTTTTTTGGTAAAAACTAGAAAAGTAGAAATGTAATTTTATGGTTATTGTAGACATTCTGTTGAACGCCAAATGTTCCGGCAGATCGTTATTTTGACTTTGCATACAAATTTTGCGATATACTGTATAAGTAGATATTTCCGTGTGTCGAAAAGTTAGCGAATTTAAAATTCTGACATTACATGAGAGAAAATATTAGCATAACTTGCAAGGGTAGAATTAAATGACAAGTTGGTTGATATTTACTTTGGAATAAATTTTAGCGATTTACAACTATTCGAGAACTTCGCCAGTATTTCTGCGGCGCTAACTTCACCACTTATACAGTACTGAGAGGTTATCTTTTTCTTTAATGCCACTTTATTTAGAAATTGTAAATCTGCCGGAGCATTTTGTGTTATATTAATGCTGTAATCCATTGCATAAGACCTTTTGCCATTCTGTTGCTAGGAAACAGTTTCTGCATGCTCTTTTAGGGGGTCATTTAGTTCATGTAACCATGTAAACAATTTAACTAGTTATCTGATGTTGAAGATAATTTACAGAATGTCTTAGCAAGAAATTGACGTTTTTTGAAACAAAATTCAGTAAAGACGTGATTTATTTAGACTATGCTGCTATTAGTAGACTGTTATAATATAGGTGTAAGACATATATATTTCATGTGTTTTTTATGCATGACCATTGTATGATAGAGTTACTTTTAAATGTTGAATTTTTTATTCTGTTAATAAAATACCCACGGTGATGTCACAAAAAAAAACAATGTTTCAGAGAGGTAAAAGGTCATGCAAAAGGGAAACTTGTGTAGAAATTTCAGTGTTTTTTATTATCTTTCCATGAATTTAGATTTTATTGTGCTATCACTAGCTTTTAAAGGTGTTTATACACGGATTTTGACAAATTGTATCAACTTAGAAAATTAATCACTGATTTTCCTGTTTTTTATCAGTTTGAAGTTTTATCAATGAAATATTTTTTTATATATCATAGAGTCTTGTAATTATGTCTGTTCTGATTAGAAATATTTATATTTAGATTTTGAAAAATTTGAATTCAAATTCTATCTGGGACAATTTTGATTGGTCATACTATGTTGTAAGCCATCGTCTGATTGGTTAAAATAACCACAGTCAGGTCACATGATCATGATGTCATGAAATACCCAGGAAGAATTTGGAATCAATAATGTTGAGGCACATAAACCTGGGGAAACACCACTTTCTGTTTCTTTTTACAGAAAAACTGGATATATTTCTTTTATTTTTTTTCAAAGATGGGAAACTTTTCAAAATAGTTTTTGTAGAATGACTGCACTGTGGGTTGAAATGATTTGATTGTTTCACATCTGTTGTGTGACAGGTTTTTTTAGAGTAATTTGCCTGGTATTTCTATATAGATTCTAGAATAAATTTGTTTTGGAGCATAGGATTGCCAAGTTATTTTAGCTATTTCAAACTTTCTCCAAAACGAGAATAGCAAAAGAAAAACAAAACCAAAAAAAAACATTTTGAGGAAATCAAATACAGTGTTTATACAGAACACGTTCTAATCAGAAAAACTGGAATGGCTTTTCCACTTATCAGGAGTTTTTTTTCTTCTCTAAAGAAATTGGCTTTTGGTAAACATCGGAACAGTAAAAATATTTTATAGTTTGTTTGGAGAAAGTGCCGATGAGAAGTGAGTGTTTCCCCCAGTTCATTCAAGCTGCATAGAAAATCATGTTGCTGTCATGTGAAATATAAGAAAAAAGATACCGAGTTACAAGGAATCAACTGATGTTTTATTTTAAAAAAAATTCGATTAAAAAAAAAATATATTTTTTTTTGATAAGCTGCAGAAAAACCTGTATAAAAGGACCATCATATGGATAACCACTTGGTGGCTCCTGATTACAAGTTGCTCTGTATTTAAGGATAAATATGCATTGTTATTGCTAAAAAGAATTTTATATACAGTACAACTGGTCTCGGTTCACCAATGGTCATTACCCATAGGGTTGACTGTACTTTATTTCAGTATTTTAAACATGCAGCATGATTTTGTTTGCAATTTTGACAAGAGTGTGAAGCTTATATTTCTTGCTGCCACTAAACATATTTTTTTCCCTTTTTTTCTAATCTTCCGTAGTGACCGAGGATGGAGAGATTATCTGGGAACCTTTACCCAGTGACCTTGTTATGCCAGAATTGTGTAAGTGCACCATCTTTTCTCCATGACAACAAGGGCATATCTTTTATTCTACCCCCAACAGAGATGCTAGTTCTTTTCTTTTTAGAATTTCTTCAAATATGGATTTGTTACACTTGCTCTGCCTATGTTATTGGATCTTCTTTTAGTGGAAATGGTTTCGTTCGGGGTGGGGGGGGGGGGGGAATTTATCATTTGAGATTACAGGAAAAGGGTGTTGGGATTTATTTTCATTGAAGAATTAATATATCACTTAAGAAACAATTCTTTAGTATTGAAATTTCTATGGAAATATAGATATACAATAGATAGATAGAAAAAGCCATGTCTTGGATCAGATTGTTGAAATATGTTGTGAAAAATTTGGCTTTGTTTCAACTTAAAAAAAAAAGATATATATATATACTGACTTCCTGTATTTGGCTTTTTGGCTTCCAGCCTTCAACAAAATTTAGTGATACCTGGAAAAAAAAAAAAACAACAACATGATAATTTGCATTTTTTGTTCAGTAGACAGATCAGTTCAGACTGATAACTTAGGATTTCACATTAATATCAAAATTATAAAGAAAAGTAACTTCTTTACATTCACAGCTAGCATCTCTGTTACCATGACGATGTGCAAAGCCTATATTGCTGATAAGCCCTTATGCTAAAGCCCTTTGCTTTATCTTGAATTATTTATCATTAGACAATAAATTTGCTTTCAAACAATTCAATTTTATGTTTTATTAAGTGCATAGATATTACAAATGAACTTTAATAAAAAAAATATCCTCCATGCAGCTGACATATGCCAGCAGATGAGTTTGATTAAAATCCCCCGAATTTATTCAAGTAAAAATCTTTAATATTCATTAATACATTCACATGTTGAAAAAGGCTATACTGTAAATGATAAGTAGAAAGAGAGAAAAAAAAATTATAGTCTGTTTCATTGTTCTTTGAAAATTAAAATGTAGAAAGTTCTAGAACTCGTAGAAGTAGCATGTCTCTTGTAATGTAGAAGTTCTATTGTAACTTTGTAACCAAGGTGACTTGGAATTGAACTAAGTGATTCGATCTTCTTATAATATATATTAATGAAATTTTAACTGTATACAAGAATTGATGAAAACTTTAATTTAAATGTATTGTCTTAGGGTACAACACATATGTGTGGTAACTTCCGTCGTAAGTTCTTGGAAGTGTTACAATGGTGTATTGAACCATTAATTTTTTCCCAAAATTGGGAATTAAATTAAGATCTTCGTCTTGTCACAATTCAGGTGGTTCATGTCATGTAGCATTTTTAGTAAATACATAATTTATTATTCGTAATGCAATAATAGTAATAAAAAAAAGTAGTAACAAAAAAGATCTCGGTAACATGCTAAAATTCAGATATTTGCGTGAGCAAAAATGTGTGAAGACAACCACATTATAACAGAAATATGGCCTTTGTACAGAAAAGACTGAAAGTTTTTTACCTTTGAGATTAGATTTGACTTGTGAATTTCAAGATTGAATTTCCATTTTACAGGGGGAAATGAAAGAAGAACTAGCCTTTAAGGCTTAAACTTGTCAAAAATGATTTGCAGGATGGTGTAACAGCTAGAGTTATTTTTTCAGTTTTTGAGAAGAATGTTGTTCAAACATTTGATTTTTGTTCAGTTTTAGAGCAATGTCCTGAAGGTGAAAGTTTTACCTTTTTTCCAGGATGGTTTCCTTGTAACAACAGTTTTTCAAGAAATCTGAAGTTACACTTAGGTGGCTCATTAATTAATTCTTCTGTAGGGAGTTTCATCTCCTTCAATTTGGAAGATTTTCTGGGATAATTTATCTAATCAAACATTTCTATCAGTAAGTAGTTAGTTTAGCTGGGTGTGATGTATGAAATGCAGATAAAGCTACCTCCTTTGTGAAGATTTAGATAAAGCTACCTCCTTTGTGAAGATTTAGATAAAGCTACCTTCTTTTTGAAGATCTCTGAAGAGTAGTCTTAAAAAAATGTAGCATGTGTGCCATTTCAGACTGATTGCTTCTGTAATTTTTTTGCTTTTTATCAGTTGGAACTGGAAAATCTCCGAAAATCTCAGTTAACTGCTGTACCCCCCTCTACCAACTTGATGAATGAAGAATAATCAGGAAATCTATGGAATGTTTTATCCATTTTAAATGGCCGATCAAGGTGTTAATTTTCCCACTTCCTGCCAAAATCGGGTACTTAAAATACATCTCCGAGTGAGTTGAGATAGTGGTATCTGTGAATGCAATATTTTTTTTCCGTGTTCACACAATACAAACATATGTCGAATCAAGAATGCTTATCCAACGGCGCCGCGAGTCCAAAACGCAACAAACGTGGCATAAACGGTTTTAATTGCTTTTCAAAAATGCCAGAGATCTGTTGATTCAATAGTCTAGATGAGTGCAGAAACAGAAAGTTTCCATGCAAGTGATTGAAGATTAGGGTATAAACATTAGAAGATCGCTAGTAAAGAGAACATGCGCAGGAGCACTGTTATAATTGTTGTTTACAAATTGGTTCGTTTAACCGACTGATAAGCAAGAAGAAAAAATTATAACATTTACAAGTCATTAATTGTTTAACACATATTAACGGAGAAAGAGGAAAACAGTTCATATTAAGTTCCGGTACTCTTGAAGTATTTTTGATACCTGGGCCAGAATATTTGTTGGACGCGAAAAAATATAGTAATAAAATATGGGAGAAAAAGTAACGTGGAACAAAGATAATTTTAATCAGTACATTTGCACTTGAGAATAAAAATCATTATATAGTTTTAATGGGTTATTAAAACAGGTTTGCGACGTGTTTTCCGTTTTATGAAATGGTGATTACAGGTGATACGCAGATGAAAATAGCAACACGAGTGTTGTTCATGCCAACTAATCTCATTGCTTGTCAGAAAGTGGAATTTATTCGTGGAAATAAGTACGAGTTTTTTTTTGCCAATTTTTGGTTTTAAATTTATCGGTTTTCTTGGATAGTAGCTGCCATGTTGGTTTTTAAAGTGTGAGATTGATCACAACGTTGAAGTAACTCCGAAGATAAAGATAATAAAAATGGTATTTTCAGAAAGTTCTAGTAGAATTGAATGTTTCCACGAAACTTGAAAGTCAATGTTTGAATTAGAAAAAAAAATTCCATCTTGAAATTCCAAGAATCTTTCATTAATGAAATTTTGCCTGTACTTTTTTTAGACATTGATTTGAATTGTGACAAGACATGACAAAGCCAAATTTACTATGAAGAAATGATATGACAAAAAATTATCAGAATTTTAGATGACATGATTGTGAATTGAATGAAAAATTGTATTGCTGACTTTTAACTTTGCATGATCACTGTGTCTAACAGGTTGAGTGAAAGTATGAATGACTATAATCACTGTGTCTTACAGGTTTGGTTCCAAATATGTTGCAACCGTATCAAGCAGCGTATGGTCGTGGATTGCCAACTGCAGCATTCGCTCCGGCAGGCTATTATTATCCAGGTATGGAGATATTAGATTTAGGTCAATGGTATCCATTTTAATATTTCACCTTTAGCTACAGTCATGTGACAGGAGAGGTCATCACCATGGCAACAAGGAAAATTAGTGTGAAAATTTGTGGAAGGAAACGAACCCCCCCAAGAATCATTGATATTGTTACATTTATATACTTTTGAATGCAAATGATGCAAAGTTTGAGACGGATCAAGTGAACTAAGTGTACGGACGCATGGACAGAAAAGTTATTTCAACTGAAACTGTGATGAGTGTGAATAATTTTATGGACATATTTGTATTGTTCCATGTTGGTTAAGACCACTGTTATACCCCTGCATATCTCTTTGTCATTTAATACAAATCAAAGGGGTTTTTGTTAAAAGGCAGGATATATTCAAATCAGATATTTTTGCAAAGAGAGGTTTTCTTTTATGAAACTGAGGGGTGTTTGGGGGGGGGGTTAATTGTAAATATATTAAAGATATGCTTAAAGGCTACAATAGAATATACACTTCAAGTTTAAAGCTTTTTCCAAACAAAAACATAATTCTCTTTTAATCTCTTTCAGTTAAAGACTTATGGAAATTTATTTATTGTTAATATTACTAGAAATAATGTCCTTGCAAAAATTTCTGATTTTATTATATCAGAACAAGTAAATTTTTTAACAAAACATGTATTTTTTATGGCCATATATCATTAGTCTAAATGAGAGAGAAACAAAAATATTTGAATAATATTTTTATGCAAATCTTAACATATCAGTATTATGTGTACCAACAGACAATAGTTTTCATTCGAAATTCTTGCCATATAGTGTGACATTGTCCCATCGCTCCCCACCCATTGTAATATGTCAATTTGATGACATCATATTTTGCGTCTACTCTTTTATAAAAAGCATTACCTCAATCCATGTAAGTGAGATAAAGTCTTTATAGAAAAAGTCTTTGTATTCATAAATTGAACCAAATTCAAATCCAAAAAACCACCCGCTCTTTTGCAGTATTTATATGTATATCATATTTTCATGATACGAGAATAAATGTTTAACAGAATTATGTTATTTCATGAGCTTAATTATTTATTTAGCTAAAATGAGAGTAAAAATGAATCCTATTTTCTTTTTTTCCAAGTTAAACTAATGTTGGTAAAAGGGAGACTACTTGTATAAGTAAAATAAATTTTGTTATTCAAGAGTTGCATCCCTTTACTTATTTGAAAACCTGCAATTTGTAATGAAAGAAAAACAGAGCACAAGGTCTCAGGAAAGTAAGTTAAAATATTGAAGACTTGAAGATTTAAGAGAACGGCTTGTTGAAATTTTTTGTATATATAATTTAAATTATGATATTTAATATTAATACAGCCATTGTATATAAACATGTACATTGTATTTATTTGAATGATATGAAAGTGACGGGGTGAACGTAGAATCTGTAAATACATTAGTTATTTATTATAATACATGATCTAAATGTTATATTGAAACAAGAATTCCTCTGAAAATCTACCTGTCTTATGTTGAAAAAAAAAATGTCTTCTTTTTTTGGATGTTTAACCAATTTGGGTGCATCAACCTTTTCTTAAAGGGACTTGTCAGACAAGAAAAGCTGGGATCTGTATGTATCACAACAGCATTAGACTTTGGGCTCCTCATCATGTAATAAAACACAAAAGAAAGTTGTGTAACTCTTTCTGCCCTGAAATCAATTGCTGTTTTTACAACAAGGGTTTTCTCCCTTTACTATCTCACAAGATTCTTAACATTCCTGTTATAGGGTATTTTCTTTGTTTCAGATGTGATTTTAACTGCTTAAAAATGATGTGACTTCATGTCTTATTAAACGTTATGTGGGCAATAATATAAACCTGTTGCTTGTGAATGTGAAAGTAAAAAGCACAGAAAAAAGCACTACCTGCTTTTGAATAACTTATAAATTTTTTCAACATCAGCTGCCCTCATGCTATTAATGGACCAGTCCAAATTTAAAGCATGACATGTCCATTATTTAAATTAAGGGTAAAGTAGCTTAAATAATTGAATGGGCCAATTAAGCTAAAAATTTGAACGTTTGTTTTAGTCTGTGTTTTTGTGCCATATTTTCTAAGATGTAAAACCTGCCTGTCATTTCATGCTAAATTTTTTATGAAGATGTTTTTTGTGAATCCTTAATCTTCGCCCTCCAGTATAAGGCCAAGCCAGTCTGTCCATTTAACTCGGTACTGTTATTAGCTCGATTCTTGTGTTTTGATATTAGTCTTAGTCTTTGAATGGACTATTCCAAATTCAAAGCAGGGCAAATCCATTTACACAAATTCAGGGGGTGAAGGGTTTATGTTGTACTCTATGATCAGAAAGTAAAAATGACGATAGAAATCTCACTAAACTATGCATATTAAGTTGTTTTACGTTATAAGGCATTTACAGCATTAATGTATGTGCGATCCCCCTTATGATCAAACCTGTGTTAATATGTTGTACCTTGTAATTATAATATTTTTACATGTATATAATCTTGTTGTGGACCCCCTTTCTGACCATGTATCTCAAATATACATTCAATATTCGTACTTTCTGTCACGTTTTTATGCCCCCGCCATGTAATGGCCGGGGCATATAGTGTTACCCTGTTCCGTCCTTCCGTCCTTCCGTCCTTCCGTCCTTCCATCCTTCCGTCCTTCCGTCCTTCCGTCATTCTGTCATTCCGTCATCATCAGTTTCCGTTCATTATCTTACGAACGGTTGCACACATTCAACTCAAATTTGACATATGAATATGTCATGACAAAATACAGGTCAAGTTCGAATTTGGTCATGGTTCGATGATTTTTGACAGAGTTATGCCCCTTTTACTTTGAAAATAATATGAAATTTCAGTTTCCGTTCATTATCTCCCCAACGGTACAACACATTCAACTCAAACTTGACATATGGATATGTCATGACAAAATACAGGTCAAGTTCGAATTTGGTCATGGTTCGATGATTTTTGGCAGAGTTATGCCCCTTTTACTTTGAAAATAATATGAAATTTTCAGTTTCCGTTCATTATCTCCCCAACGGTACAACACATTCAACTCAAACTTGACATATGGATATGTCATGAGAAAATACAGGTCAAGTTCGAATTTGGTCATGGTTTGATGATTTTTGGCAGAGTTATGCCCCTTTTACTTTGAAAATAATATGAAATTTTCAGTTTCCGTTCATTATCTCCCCAACGGTACAAAACATTCAACTCAAACTTGACATGGATATGTCATGTGAGAAAATACAGGTCAAGTTCAAATTTGGTCATGGTTCAATGATTTTTGGCAGAGTTATGCCCCTTTCACTTTGAAAGTAATATGAAATTTACAGTTTCCGTTTATTATCTCCCCAACAGTACAACACATTCAACTCAAATTTGACATATGGATATGTTTTTGGAATGCCCAGGCCAAGTTTGAATTTGGTCATGGTTTAATGATTTTTGGCAGAGTTATGCCCCTTTCACTTTGAAAATAATATGAAATTTACAGTTTCTGTTCATTATCTACCCAACAGTGTTACATATTCAACTTAAATTTGACATATGGATATGTCAAATGAATGGGCAGGTCAAGTTGGAATTTGGTCATGGTTTGATGATTTTTTTGCAGAGTTATGTCCCTTTCACTTTGAAAATAATACAGATACATCTTAGGAATAAGCAGTTTAAGTTTGAATTTGGTTGTGGTTCAATGATTTTAGACAAACTTATCTTTCCTGAATGTTGGAAAAATTTTGAACTTTCAGTTTCAGCACTCATACTTTTAGCCATTATTTTGGCTACAAATATGCAATATGCTATTTTTAAAAGGTTAAGACTGAATAATTTCAGTGTCTTGAACATTGTATGAAAATGGTTTGTGTTAACATTTTAAAGTTTTAATTAAGGGCTTTGAACTTAAAATGAAAAAAATAATTAATGCACCATCTGTAATTTTGGCTGCATGCGGGGGCATCCGTGGCATGATGACACATTTCTAGTTTTATACCTTTTTTGTCCTCTATGAAATAACTAAGAAAATGGTTTTGTACAGAAGTCAGTGAATTTGTTCGACATAACAATAAGTAAATACGTTAATATTAATGGTTTGTCTCGGATACGATGTTTCAAAGAGATGGATTTAAGTAAATGCGATATAAAATTTCTTGTCTCTGACTGGACCCAAGTTTTGTGTCTTTAAAGATGTGTCCACAATTCACAATTTGAAATGTAAATCGGGTCTAATAGAATTTAATGAATTTATAAATAAGATTCAAAGATGAAAAAAAAAATGTTACAGATAAGATTTTAACAAACATAAGCAATGTACCTGTTGTTTTGTGCTTAATAGAACAATTTGTTGTTATTGTTGTTGTTGTCAGTGGGGAGTATACAAACCAGCGGTGCCACTGTGCCAAAAAAACATAATGTACAAAAAAACATATATAATATATACTTTGTTTTTTTTTCGTTTTCTTTTTTTTTTCGTGTTATATTAAATGTTATTATATCATTATCATATATTTATTGTAATATATTTATATATTTATGTAATGCTTTGAAATCGTTGTCAATTTCAGTTCTGTCAAGTGTTTGTGATTTCTTCAATCATTTTCCTTAGAAATTGCGAGAAGAAATCACAAATTAAAGACGGACTCGTGTTAACCCTCTCACGTTGATATCGGGCTGTGATTTTTCAATTGTATCTTTGTTGTTTTTGTAAAGTGCCCAAAAGACCAAATATCTTCATTATTGTAACAAGTAAACATGGTTGCTGATCAAAAAATATTTTTTTTTTTCTTACCAAATACGAGAAGTCTGCAACCTTTTAAAAAAAAAGCATGCACTAATACATACTGTACGTAAACATGATATTGCGCTATTTTCAAAAAGTATGGATAGTAAAAAAGGTGAAATGAGAATCTTTTGTCTATAGAAGCCTCTTTTGATTGGTAAATTTTTATGTTTTTTTTTTCTTTTTAATTTATCAATTGATTATAATGATATTTTTGAATGTTTGGTTTTTCAAAATCCAAATAAATGAACAAGTTAAGATATTTTGTATAAAGTGCTCACACGCACACACACACATACAAGTAGAAGCCATGTTTATTTGATCATTTACGATGCGACAATTACTGAATTTGTAAGGTTTTCTGTCTCTCATTAAAATAAAATAATGATTTCAATTTTAACTGTATCATGATGCAATAAAAATAATGATTGAGTTTATTTGATTCATTTTTATTTTCTTGTCAGGTTTTGTATATGTGTGTGCCAGCAATGGAATACTTGTTTTAAGAGTTTAAACATTTTTTTTTTAAATTAAAGCTAAAAAAATTTAGGAGGGAAAAAGATTTTTCAGCGTTTATAATAATTTATATTCATAACTTCAAAGTCTGTTTCATAAAACGTTTCAGTACTGAGCTCAGGTCATGTTACGCATCAACACTTTTTAAAAAAAGTTTAAAAATTTTAAAATTTGCACAATTCTTTTTCAATATATTTGATTTGTATGTAATGAGCTGTTTATAAAAATGGGGTCATGGGGTAGTGATTGGTACAAAATTTAGATCTATAATGTATTATTATATACCATTAAATGACTGAGCCTGCCCTAATTGTGAATCAAGTTTTTGTTTTGTTTTTGTTTTCTCCCAAATCTTGATCTGGACCTTTTTATGTGTGGACAATAATAAATGTCACTATTTTGATGCGGTAATAAAACTTTTCCACTGGTTTACTAGCTGAAATATTCATAAAAGAAACATTTTTTTGTATTGAGTTTTTTTTACATTTTTCACTGTATTTTTTCTTCAATTTCAATACTTGTCTTACCAATGAAAAGGTTGGCTGATGCATGCAAACTTTTGTTAGATCATACTCCTTCTTTTTTGTGATACATTTTTATATAGAATTACCAAATTTGCTTGTTTTTTTTTGGAACAATAAAATGTAGTTTTACATTAAGAAAAAATACAACAACTGATTTTTGCTTGCTACGTTTGCTGAATTTCTATTTTGATTTATGTATGTATTTGAAGTGAGTGGCTTTTTATAGAGGGCAGCTCTAAAATGATTTATTATACGTTTTATTGTATTTGATTTTATAAACAGTATACTAGAATCTAAAATTGAAAATTTGATATGAATGACTCTTCAGTTGCCCAAATATAATGAGGAACTTCGGAACCTTGGATATATTATTGCCAATTTTTTTTTAATTGACGATTTTTTAAATCGGGGTTTAGAGCCGCCTTTTATGTTAGAATAGACGATCATTTTTATGTATGTATTTAATTTGCAAGTGTTTTGTATCGAGTGACCGAATTGTATGTGTATTTCAAGATTGACCGTTATGTTAGTCACTAACAATGCTGTACATTTGTTAACTTCGGAAAGAAAAGCATGTAAATTATATATGACCTTTTTGACCTTAGGATACTGCTTTTACTCTTGATAAGATCTGTTCATGTTTTATTTATTGTCAGAGAGTGTCAGTATGTGTTACAGTTGTAGATATATTTGAAAAACACGTGAAATGTGATATTTTGACAGGGAAGATGGGGTTTAATATGGGTTGATTTGGTAGAGGGATCGGGGAAGTGTCAGTAGGGGATATAAAGATGGTGGGGAATGATTGGAAAGGGGTGTATTGGGAGGGGTCAGTCTTAAAGGGAGAGGGACAGTTGTTTGTAGAGGGATCAAAAACTTAAATGTATTGACACACAATAGACAATGTTTCTGTTGCTTAGAAACAAGGTAGAAGCACATAATGTAATTTCTGTAGATATTGTAAAATGTAGATAAATTATTAGTTGCCATAGCGATGTAAACAGATGGTTGTCATAGTAACTGACAGATCTTCTGTATTTTTTTCTACTCACAGCTGGGCTAGGCTCTCTTGGGCAAAGTGTTGGCGTCACGCCAGCTCAGAATGCGGCACTTGCATTCAGTACACGGGCTTCAACTGTGTCCCGAACGCCCGGTAAGCGGTGTCCCCTAGTTTCAGTGTAGATCTTCGTACTACTTGTGCAAATTTAAACAATACTGTTTCCGATATTTTTTATAACACAAATGTACCAAACATAGTTGAAAGTCTTGCTAAATATTTTGTTTATCTTTTAGAATGTAGGTTAAAAGTGATAAATTGTGTCTGAAATATTGCAACGGTTGAAAAAAAAAAAAATTTTGCCGCTCATGTTAAACAGTATTGTTAAATGTTGTACCACAGTTGAGATTAGTACTTTGTTCTCTTCACATTTCTATTATACCTTAACCTGCTGAATTTGTGAAATGGATTTGCCCAAGCTTTGAATTTGGAACAGTCCATTAATTATTTTAGGGATTTCAGTATCTAAAAACAAAAACCCTACTACCAACAGTGTAAAGTCTGGTTGGCAGGCTGGCCGGCCTGGCTCTAAACTGGTGGTAAAGGCTAATCATTTCCAGTTCCCTGCAGGTTATGGGTTTATATTGTAATGTAATCACTTCAATATAATGTGAACAGGAGAGCTGCTGTACTTTTAAAATTGTATATTACTGTTATTTCTATATACACATTTTGTGTTCAAAATGTACATTTACAAATCTCTGGTAACTCATAAGAACTGTTGTTTGCTGTACTTTCAGTTTGAAAATTAAATTTTTCTGTTTTATATTTAGAAGTATTTAATGTTGGCTAACAGTTATTAAAAGTTTTAATGTTGGCTAACAGTTATTAAAAGTATTTACCAGTAATGTTTGGTACATGATATAATAATATGTATTTTGACATACTAATAAGGTATATATTTTGGTGAAATACTGTCAAAAATTTCACTAGCAATTTATAATTATTCAGAGGTATATTTGTAAATATTTATCTTTAATTTCAACTATTATACAGATAGATAAGTTGATTTTTTTTGACCTTGTGATTCTAAGGACAGCAAAGAGATTTGTTCTTATGTGTTCAATAACATAACTATAATTGTGTATATATTATATATATATTTAGTGCTTGAGACATGTATATATTTGTGTTTGTTCCTGACCCAGCTTTTCATTAACTAATACAGTGATTTATTTTCAATCTCGCTTCTCTCTTTAAAACAATGTGTGCATCTGTATGATATACATGTATACTGTCTATTCTTTACCGCAACACTTACACGAGGCATGGTTTATTAAAACTTATTGCCTTATGACGGCAGTTTGGGACACACTGCTGTCACGACTATTTTAATATGTGTTGAAATGTTGTCATGATTTTATAAAATGTTTGATGTCCCTGTTTGAAGACATTTTATTCTGATTCAAATTTGTGTCATAAATTTATGATGTAGAAAATTCTCGGCGTCTAAACTAGACCTGATTTGACACATGTTTTATAGTAAAAATTGGTCACATGGTATTCAGTTGAATCAAGATTCATAATTTTATTAAACAGGGGAGGGAATGCATATGCACCTGTGTTGATTAAGTTTAGAGATTAGGTTTAGAGATTATTAAATGGTCATAAATCAATAATTGGCTTTAAAGGTACATTTAATTAAGCCAAAATCGATATATATTAATCAAAATTCATATATGTATTGTATTTGGCTGCTATTTTTAGGATTAAATGTATTTATGTTATGATGAACGTTATATATTTATAATTAAATGACAAGGGAGGCTACTCCTAACATTATTGCTCTGCATGTCCTGGTTTTAGTGACGACAGCACACACATCAATCTGTCTGCTTGTAGAAATGTAGTTTTGCCATGAATCAAGTGTAGTTTTACTTTTTGCATGTATTGTTTGATTGTTTTGAAGAACTTTTTTTTTTTTCATTTGAGAAAAAGAATTTGAATTGCATCTTTTACCCATGATGCACTAAAACAAATGTAACCAGTCAAAAAAAAATTGTAGAAAGTAGTGAATAGTTTTTAGTTTTGTAGAAAAAAAACAATCATTGTAAAGCTAGAAATACTGAGTTCAGCCAACCAATGAGTTTGAAATACTTTATTTTACTAAATTCAACAAAAAAAATGAGCCTTTAGTTATAAAAGAGCTTTATTCAGTGTAAAGAGAAAGGGAAAAAAAGCAAAAGAAATTTCTGTGTGCCGTTTACAAAACCTGACACTCAGAGCAATAACGAGGGAAGCCATCAGAGGTTCATGATCATATTTTTTGTACATTTTGATAAACTGTGTTTAAATGGCTACAACATCTGTCTGGAAAATGCAGTTATTTCAAAATTTATAAAAAAACAACATTTTTTTTTGTCTTAGGCTTCCCTAGTTACGGCTTGATCCCCTCGGCAAATGAGAGACACGCTTCTCCGACTGCTCTGTATAACTTTGCTGACGTGACTACTGGAGTCCCCACAATTCAGAGGAGTGAGCCGTCTCCACTCCCAAATGTCTCCACTTCCCCTCTACAACGAGCCAATGACACACAGGCCCTGTTCACGGCCCATTCCCAGGCACAGGCTCTAGTAAATGCCCAGCGCTCAGGTAAATATCTTCGTAATGCTTTTAACATTTGTATTAATTATTATGAATTTTACTCTTGACTGTCAACACGAACGTGAATATTGTGCTTGTTGGTTACTGTTAACAGCTGTAATGCGGCTCTGCCAAGTTCCTGCTACACAGTTGCCTAAGAGCGAGATATTCGCGTCTGTTTGCAGTTATTTTTCTTGCATATTACATGTTAGATATAGTAATTAGTTCAAAAGAAATTGTAATTACAAAAAAATATAGATATTTGTCTTCTGTCCCTTCACTGGAGGAATTCCTAGGAAATCAAGCTTCATATGCAAGAAAAAGTTTCGTTTTGCTTGAATTTTGCTATAGTAAAATAATGAACAAAATTCAACTGATGCTTATAACTAAGTCAGATACAAGCATACAGCTAGCATCACATGAATTGCTTTGCAGGCAATTATTCAATTAGCAGATTGCAGAATTATATCTTAGTAGTAAATTAGGTAATTGATGTATCATTTTGTTAGATTTTAATACATCTTAGTAGTAAAATTCTCTTAGATTTTATAGAAAATTAATGTTTCTCTTAAAAATATTCTCTGCACATATACATTTATTTTATATTCAAAGACCAGTTTATTTCAGGAAAAGATAGTAATTGTATTATCAAAGACAAGTTTAAGAAAAAGATAAAATATAACATTTATTATATTTAGCCAAAGAGCAGTTTATTTAAGAATTAAAAAGAGAATTTTTAACCAAAGACCAGTTTATTTAAGAAAAAAAGAAGATACTTTTTAACCAAAAAGCAGTTTATTTAACAAAAAGTTTATATTTAACCAAAGACCAGTTTATTTAAGAAAAAGAGAATATTTAACCAAAGACATGTTTATTTAAGAAAAAGAGAATATTTAACCCAAGACCAGTTTAAGGAAAATATGATTTATAACCAAAGACCATTTTTCTTGATGAATATTGTATAATTTACTATACAGATTATGTTTGATGACTTTATATCATGGGGGAGCTCTTTGTTCTAGGATATACACCAGTTTTCCCAAGAACTAGAATACTAAAATGTGTTAATTAGACTTTTAGAGTAGTAAGGACCAATGTTAAAAATATACCCCCTTATGTAGAAATTAAAATGAAACAATGTGTGAAGTAGCACAGTTAGTAAAAATGTATAGAATGATAGTTAACTATACCAAAGGCCAGTCACTTCTGATGAAAATCATTTTCAAACTGCAATTTATGCAAAACACTGGTAGCAATTTGCCAACATAATATGTATCTAGTAGGATGACAGTATTGAGTACATTTTATAGAAGTAGAAAACTAGGCAATTGCTTCTGCAGTTATTTCAGATTGATCATTTACCCCCATTTAAATGGGTCAAGGTCACCATTTACAGTGAACCTGACTTGGACGACAGAGAACTGTAGATTTTGCGGTCTAAATAAGGAATGGGACAATGATATCTGAAACAAACAGAATTCTTGAGCTAGTCATGTAAATATGTAAATTTGATCATGTGTGAGCATTATTTCAGAGTTTATTTATAACAAATAACAAGATAATATTTTGATATATTGTAGCTATGGCATTTTCGTCCCTTCAACAAGTCCCACAGGCTACCTCTCCTCTTACAAGTCGTCAGATCATACCCGGGGCCAGCAGCCCAGGGCCTCTCGATCAACTGATCTCAGTACAGGACCCCCTCAGCTACTTGCAGGCAACAAGCCCACAGCCAGCCGGCTTCAGCGGGCTTAATCTGACCAGGGTAAGTCCATGCATATTTTGCCACCTGAGTGCATTAATGGTTTCACTCCCATTGAAATTTAATAGCAATTAACCTGTTACTTCATTTAAGTGACTTTAATTTAAAAAAATATGATATGAAAATAACTTTATTACAGAATGCCATAGCATTTGATTATCATATTGCATGAATGTATGAAGTAATATGGAAAAGAACTTTTATTTGAAAACTGAACATGTTATCTACATGTATATTATATGTCAAATAAAGAATTTTTGTTATATGAGGATTGTATATTGTGAATATTATACATGTATCAATTAAGGAAAATTGATGTGTGTACTTTGATTATTATATGAATTAATGAATATTGATTTCAAAATTGATATTATTATCAATATTATATGAAGTGAATCAATATCGTATTTATTAATTAATGAAAATTGATGTATATAATTTATATGAAACATTGTATTGAATATTAAATGAAATGAAAATTGATGTACGTACATGATTGTAGTCTATATTATACGAGAGTTTACATTGAATAATATATGAAAATTAACATATACATTGAAACTTTCTTTGATTTCAGCCAACACAGCTGGTCAGCTTCCAGAATGGCTACCATTAAATTCCTCGCTTTAGATGACAGGTAAAAAACATACTGTCTTAACATGAATTTAAATTATTCATCTTATGTATTTATCTTGAATATCTATATTAAGACTATTTAACTTTGAATCCATTCCTATAAAAGATCAAAGCATTTTAAATTAGGACAGGTACGCTAGCTGAATAGCTTCCTCACACCCAAAGCCCATGTTGGGACTTGAACCCACAGCCGTGGTTTCACAGCGGTGGTTTAAAGTCAACGACCTAAAAAACTTGGCCACTGATGCCAAGATTAATAAAAAGTGACTACTTGTTCTGTAAATGATTCTTACAACACTGTTGAGCTAACTTATATTTAACATATCAATATGTGTTATAAAGTAACTGAATCAACAGCTGAATAATTAAATGACATTTGAGCCGCGTCACGACAAAACCAACATAATGCGTTTGCGACCAGCATGGATCCAGACCAGCCTGCGCGTCCGCGCAGTCTGATCAGGATCCATGCTGTTCGCTTACAAACTTTATCACAAATAAAGAAACTGATAGCGAACAGCATGGATCCTGATCAGACTGCGCGGATGGGCAGGCTGGTCTAGATCCATGCTGGTCGCAAAACCCATTATGTTGGTTTTGTCATGACACGGCTCTAATGACATTTAGGTGTTATGTGTTATTGTACTAGGATTGTTTTGGTTTATAATCAGTCTTATTTTCTAATCTATTTATACATGTAGATAGATTTATAATTGATAAATATTATATTTTATTCTACAGGAAGCAAGACAATTTGCCAAAGATAACAAGACATTTTGCTGACTTTTCCTACAGTTGTTTTCTTCTTCAATGCTGTTTCTAGAAATTCTTTACACTAAAGACTGATAAGTTTAAATTGCTTTCTACGTGGAGGTCAAAGACCATGTGACCAAAGGTCGAGTAAAGGTCATTTTGCGCAACTATTTGTGAAAATGACACCAATTACTTTAATATACTTAAGAGCTGGACACAGTGCAATGCTGAAGAAAATTTAATAAAAAAAAAGAGTCCCACAATATATGACGTCCCAGCGTATATGACGAAGTGAAAAATGCATTGCTGAGGGAGAAGGAACTTCATTTGTTTATGTCTTTATATCTAATCTTGTTAAGTAATAATCCTTTTTTTGTATCACAAAATGTTATTATATAAATCTGTTATCTATTGTGAAGTTTACAAATTTGCATTGTCAAGGTTACCATTTTGTGTTGTCATAGTAACTGTTTTCATTCTCTGTCATTGGCAGAAATTATTTGCTTTACTGTCTTGTGATGGACTGGGAACCAGACCTCCCAGATCTATAAATAGGTATGCTATAAATAGGTATGCTATAAATAGATACGAATATTGCCATTCTTTTTTCATTGGTAGATAGGGTATCTATGTACAGAAGGGTCTGAATAAGATTGACATACATTTTTTATCTGGAGAGTCTTTTATTAAGATGTTATATTATTATAATATTATAATTTTGTCACATAATGTGACGTTATGTTAAATAGTGATTGTCATTTATAATCAAGCTAATGTTGTATGCAAATTTATTGGCATTGAAAAAATGCGTCCATTATTCAAATTGAAGAGTCCTGCACACACATCGATGGAAATTCATTTTTAAAGTTGCTTGCTATATTTGAATTCATTATATCCCTGCATGTTCTAGCCTAGCACACGAGCTTGCAGCTAGAATTCTGTACTTTTTTTTAAGTTTACTTCAAATGGCATATGTTGGCCTAAACTTTGTCAAGCAAGCATCACATTTTTCAATCCATCTCTTTAAATTTCAGCACGAATAAAACATGCTTCTCTCCATTTTGTCTTTAGCTAGTGACAAGCTTGGAACATTTTATTATTTTTTGTAAATCGCATCAGAAGTTATGTTGTCTGAGACTACATAGAAGGCCCTGGCAGGTGCATGTTTAAAAATGGACATCGTGCAAATGAATATTCATTAGATTATTTAAATGACTTTAAATTTGCATACACCTTGGTTGAAATTCATTATGTATATACATGACCAGAACAACATTTTTTTGTTGCACATGTTTTTTTTTCTCTATCTTTTGTTTGTGATTTTTATTGATTTTTATTTTTAACTGGTACTTATATTTTTGATGACTTTATTTCAAGTATTGTTATTTTTTTGGAACTTCCAAGCTTTTTTTAGAGCTAACGTAGAGTTGTGTAGAGTTCACAGGGTCTCAAGTCTCATTTGATTGTGGCATTAATTACACATGTTTTTTTAATTGGGTTTTGGAAAAAAAAAGTATTGGCATTGAAAAATGAAAAAAAAAAGAATGCTTTGATCTCAAAACTAAGCAATAAGCTTGTTTTGTGTAAAAAAGCTATGGCAATACATTCGAGATCATTTCATTGCAGGTATGGCAGTAAATTTCATAACCGTAATGCAGTAGCGGGTTAACTCAATATTAAATTTATTAGATTTAACGCATTACTGCAATAAAGGTATTGATTTATACTGATTGAGGGTGAATACTATACAGAATAACATCAAAGTAGAATGATTTCTATATTTTATTAAATGTTTTTTGAGACTTGACATATTTTTATCTGTAAATAGCAGTCTAGGACCAAACATTTTGTTTATTTCTTTGGTAGTGGCGATATTTTTTTTTTACTAGGCATTCATTTTTATTAACATTATGCAAGATTTCTTTTTTTTTCGGTTTTTTTTCCTCGTTTTTTTGACGCTATGTGATACAGTCATGTGACCATATTGTATTTGATCATGTGACTATCTTCCATTTAGTAACCATAGTTACACGTACATGTGTATATTCCTCGTTTCTCTATGTGCTTTTACCATTCTCTCTATCACTTCTTGTGTTTATATACCTGCATTCATTATGTAACCTATAGTGTTCTATACTACTCTGTTCAACAGCCTAAAACAACTCTTTCCAAATTTGGGATTCTTTAAATGTGTTGTTTTTTTTTGTACTGGAGTCTGCATCTCTTAGCTCCAGCATGTGAGGTGCTTATGACCCCTTTGTGTTTTCTTTAAGTTTACAACACCGGAGGTTAGCCAAAATAATCTTTTCCTGTTTCAACACCGTTTGACCTAGATTGTGTTGGTGCACTGTAAAACCAAACAAAACAAACATTAGAATTGTTTTTAAATATAAGTGTACATCTTAGATGTATAAAGTATATATATGGCTTACACAATGAAAATTGTACCATGATTATGTGCAATGGAAAGGTTCTCAAAAGATAAATAAAACAGTTAAAATGAGAACCTTAAAGTACGGCAAAGAAGACAACATTGCCAATATTAATAATTCTGTTTGATTGAGTCTGTTCATCGGTGCCGATGGTTAATGGAAGAAATTGTTTATCACCCACTAGCTTTGACTTCAGCAGAATATAAAAATTACGAAGTTTTAGGTAAGATTACATCTGAAATGATTTAATTTAACGTGAGCATTTCTGGACACGCTCTTTTTCCCCCTAACCAAATTTGGAAATATTTGTTTTGGGCTTCATCAAAACTAGTCTGCTCCAGCATTTAAGAAATCATTCTTCAAAGTAAACAAAGTATACATATAGTGCTTGATTCTGATCATTATTTGTGTTATTATTATTTTTTTTATTTTTTTTCAAATTTGAAAGGTGCTAAGACTACGCATAAGTCTTTTTTTGTAAAAATTAGAGTTAGTTTTCAACCTTTTTCTGAGAAATACATACGCAAATTACAAACGTGTAAAGCATTACGAATTTAAGACATTGCAGCCATTGGAACTAAATAGCCTGAATTTTTAGCTATTTTTGCCATAAAATGCATTTGTACCCTAGAGTAGAAAATGAAGTTACGCAAATGACTAAATTCAACAGTGTTCCACTGATTGTTTTGGGTTACAATTTTTTTTTTTAAACGAGGCTTTCAGGTTTACACAAACCCATTCAGGGAAATGTTTTAAATATGCCTGTTTTATAAATGTGGGCCGGTTTGATCAAATTTAGTAGAAAGATATTTATTAGTACTTATGATATATATATAAATTATTGCGTTAGATTTTAAGATGTTAAACTTGATGTGAGATCAATTGTGTATTTATACTATAGAACAGAACTGTTAAAAAATTAAGTTCAGACAACACATTCTTGTACTAGATTCTGATTGGTTGCAGAGTTCATACTATTCTTAATTTTACTGGTTCCCCTTTTTTTAGGAACCAATACTGGAATGATAAGGACTCTGAAACTGCAAATAATTTCAGTAAAATGTTACTAATGAAATATGTTGTTACAATTCCTTTCTGCTAGGCAACTGGTGACACTTGCTACACATACACTGTTGCTAGGCAACTGGTTACACTGTTGTTAGACGAACATTGTTGCTAGGCAACTGGTTACACTGTTGTTAGACGAACATTGTTGCTAGGCAACTGGTTACACTGTTGTTAGACGAACATTGTTGCTAGGCAACTGGTGACATTGTTGTAACTGTGTGCTGTTGCTAGGCAACTGATGACATTGTTGTTGCTAGGCAACTGATGACATGGTTCATGTAACTCTGCCATATTTTTCTCCACCTCTTTATACATTGCTGTTCATGACATTTTTTCTATCATTTGTTATCTTACATTGCTTTATACATGACGTACTATTATCGTCAATCATTAATGGGTCTTTGGATAGTTATTGAGGTATCACTTTTTGTCGTGTTGGATATTTTAATAAATTTTCAAGAAAAATAAATATGAGTAAAAGACCATTAATATCATCTGTCAACATTGTCGAGTTAGAACAAAGACATGTTACTAAAAAGTTGGCAAGAAGTTTAGATGATAGTGTCTTTTTGTCAATTAACTTATTGTTTCAACAATTTCTTCTAGACTGGTGGTTCGTTGCAAATAAGAAATTGTATTCTAAGTAGATTTTGAAGACAAATCGTTAAATTAATTTTTCTCTTTTGTTATCCAACATAGATTGCATTGCTGTGGGAACTTTAAAGTTTTGTTTTTTTAGTGCAAAAAGCAACTATCCTGCATTGTTTAGTAGATATCAAGATAATTTATTTTTGCACTGCTGTTGGTCTTATACATGAATTTATTCATACATTTTGTTTCTACCGTATCATCAAATATAGTTATTTATTGATATACATCCATCGAATCTTATCCTCATATTATGCTCTATGTATTTTTAAAGTTTTACCCTTATTTATGAACTATTGTTTTTTTTTTAATGAGAAAAATCGGGTATTTTACTATTTAACTTGTTCAAGCAATAACCAAGTAGTATATTTTTAGGTTATAGAATATAGGAGTAGATCAGCTTAGATTCTCGTTTGGAGTTGACCAAATTACGCTCCTCAATGTGTTCAAAGTTAGAAATTTAGACCTAACTTAACAAATTTTTATCCCATCCATCCATTCCCTTAGTTGAAATATTCAGAAGTGAAATACATAAATTTTAAATGTTAGATTAAAATGTATGCTAGACCTATAAGATTAGATTTATCCTTGCTTTAATACGTTACAATTTATATACGTAGCAAAAATGTTTTTGATAATAAAAGAGACATTCCAACATGGTCGGAAGTGAAATGTTATTTAGAATGTTTTCTTGCCCCGCAATGTACTATTAGTTCAAATAAATTCTGATTGTGTACGTCAAAAGTAGATACATGTACATAGGTGTGGACTGTATCTCGATAACTCCGCCCATGCAGTTGTTTTAGTGCTCAGTCTGTTTGAAATTAACACGCTAGATTTAGGCATTTTGTACTTTGTTAATCCCACGCGTAATTTGGTCATATCCAACTTGAAATCAGATTTATTTATAGACTTAGATAAATTACACGTTACAGCTGGTATTTTTTTTTTTTTTCATGAAAAATTGTATACACATAATCTTTAATTTATATATTTGTTGATGCATTGTTGATACTATATTCTGTTTTTTTTATCTTTTAAACCGGAGATGTTATTTTTAAATGTGATGACAGGATTTATTATATATTGATCTGTAATTGAAATGTACAGTAATGAATTTTAATTGTTGTGTCGTACAAAAATTATAAAAAAAATCGTTACATACTTACAAGTACCCCACCCCATCCGTAAAAAAAAATTGATCTATTATAATGTACTGTTGTGATGAACTTTGTATGGCCGTCATAAAAGAAAATACTTAAATATACTAATATTTACTTACCATTGAAATATATTGTTTTCTATTATAAATGGGTGTTTGCCCTCGTTTATTTTAAGTTCATAGCATTTTCAAAAATATTTTGCCCTAAAATATTTATGTAAATATTCTTACACAAAGTTTGGACGGAATTCGCAAGCAATAATAAACTGTTTAAGCTAAAGATCTCTTACTATTTCAGAATGATTTTAAAAGTAATATTCAAATGATCAATGTACTGTAATAAATGGCAGAACATTCCCACCCATATCTTAGTGTTTTATTCTTCGAATTTGTTGACAATTTTCCACTATAAAATGTCATTCAAACATGTTCAAGATTTTGACCAAATAGTTCACTGTTCAGAAATGGTAATCATGGTGATGACCTTTGAACTATGCATTAAGTTATTGGGGATTCTTGATTGAAAAGTATTTTGTAAACTGTTCAGCTTGGACAACTATCACAGTCTCTAAAATGCTAACTGGGTAAACTTGATTTATGATGAACAAAAAAAATTAATCGAGTGAGATTGTTCTGTATATTTGATTAATATTTAAATGTTATTAAGTAGAATATCCTTCAAAAATGCATCTAAAACTTGATTATTACCAAATACATTGCTGCATGAATACTTAAAGACTTTGATAACAGATTACTTTTTACTTTTTCTTTGATAATGTGTTACATCATTTAATATGGTGGGATTTTTTTTCTTTATATTAAAAAAAAAGTGTGAAAAAAATATAATTTGGTGGAAATACAACTTTGACTTTGTACAGTGATGAAAATGTAATTGAGCTGCACAACGACACAACCAACATAATGGATTTGCGACCAGCATGGATCCAGACCAGCCTGCGCAGTCTGATCAGGCTCCATGCTGTTCGCTATCAGATAGTGTTTGTAAGCCAACAGCATGGATCGGGGATGCGCAGGCTGGTCTGGATCCATGATGGTCGCA